AGAGCTCTAGACCTTTAGCTTGTGTTTGGTGGAGAGATTTGGAAAACGAAGCGAAAAAGTTTGTGAAACTAAGTAACATGTAAGTATTCACATTTCACATACTTTTTTCCTTTCCCTTTCCAAATTCCTTTCCAAATCTCTTTTCAAATTTCACCACCAAGCACAACATTACTGCCTAATTTTGATTATTAAACACTATTTAAAAGCATGTTCAATGCTGAATTGTTAAAATCGTATGTCAAAATGAAATTTTAGCATTCTATAGTAGTCAAAATGTTAAAATTTGGCAATCTTACTAAAATTAATAAGTACTATTTCTTGTGTTAATTTATTTTATCTTATTTTTGTTTTTTCACATTAAACCAAATACAAATAACATCTATAGGCCCATCAAGAGAGATGGAGAGAAAATCCTCTTGCTAGAATTTGTCAATCTGCCAAACCTTGTGCCATATTTAACTCGAGATAGCAACGAAAAAATTTAGTAGTTCAAATTAGCACGTTGACATGATTGCCCTCGAGTCAGATTGGTTTCTAGTTATGTATATGAATTGCCAAACCATAAATATAATTTATTTTTGTCTGTTTTCACTTGTATTGAGCAGGTAGGAATGGGAAGTGCATTAGATACATTCTGTGGGCAATCTTATGGGGCTAAACAGTACCATATGCTTGGTATTCACAAGCAGAGGGCCATGCTTGTTCTCCTACTTGTAAGCATTCCACTTGCTTGCATTTGGGCAAATGCAGGGCATATTCTTGTTTTCTTGGGACAAGATCCTGAAATATCAGCAGAGGCAGGTTCTTATGCTCGGTTCATGATTCCCAGCATTTTTGCTTACGCACTCCTTCAATGCCATGTTCGATTCCTACAAACTCAAAACAACGTCTTTCCAATGATGTTGAGCTCAGGATTTACCACGTTACTACACGTACTCATTTGTTGGATTCTAGTCTTTAAATCTGGACTTGGAAATAAAGGCGCTGCGTTGGCTAATGCTATATCTTATTGGATCAATGTGATCTTACTCGCCATTTATGTCAGGGTATCTCCTTCCTGCAAGAACACTTGGACAGGATTTTCCAAGGACGCATTGCACGATATTCCTAATTTTCTTCGACTTGCAATTCCTTTCGCTCTTATGGTCTGGTAATAATTATTATTGATTATCAAAAATAATATATTTTTACTGTTTGTTTGAAATGTGCTCAAACATATGCTAGTTTCATTTATTTGATCACTTGCTGTTTTCTTGTAAACAAACAAACAGCTTGGAAATTTGGTCATTTGAAATGATGGTTCTCTTGTCTGGTCTCCTTCCTAATCCAAAGTTAGAAACATATGTTCTTTCTATCAAGTTAGTAGTTTCTGTACTCAATTCACTTCGTGGCCAATATATAATAAGCACATAGGCAGCTCAATCCTATTTGAGGCCTACGAATGAAAATTTTAAGTGAGGCACTTTATAAATTTTTCTTTATACCAAATTCATTTATTCTTATGTGATACATACACTATATACCTAAAAAAAAAAATTGGGGGTCTTCCTCTGAGCAGGACTCTAGGCGAGCAGCTAAACAGTCTTAGGGGTGGAGCTAGTGGTGGTGGTGAAGCATCACATAAAGTATTGCCATATATAGATGCCCATACTAACTATTCATTTGAATTCCCAGCCTCAATTCGTATACCATGGTTTACATGATACCCCTCGGATTCAGCGGTGCCACAAGGTGATTGATTATAAGATTAATTGTTGACCATTCAATGGGATAAGTAAATTTTCCTAAATTTAATCTGTAAAAGAAAAAAGTTAACTATTTTTTCGATAGCTTTTTGGACTTCATATGATAGTTGGTTTTTTTTTTTTTTTTTAGAAAATGATATAAAAATCCATTTTTGAAATTCACATTCTAAACTCAATGATGCGTAAGAAATATGATTGGCTAATAGTTAGAGTAGATTTGAGAGAGAAAGTTGCATTAAATATTTTAATTGGTTATCACATCATTGCTTTTAAAAACTTGGTCTAACTTTTGGGTTTTAATAACAAATATTTTTTTCCCCTTTTATAATTTGGTGCTTTTTTAGTTTTTACTACACTGTTAGAGCTCTAGACCTTTAGCTTGTGTTTGGTGGAGAGATTTGGAAAATGAAGCGAAAAAGTTTGTGAAACTAAGTAACATGTAAGTATTCACATTTCACATACTTTTTTCCTTTCCCTTTCCAAATTCCTTCCCAAATCTCTTTTCAAATTTCACCACCAAGCACAACATTACTGCCTAATTTTGATTATTAAACACTATTTAAAAGCATGTTCAATGCTGAATTGTTAAAATCGTATGTCAAAATGAAATTTTAGCATTCTATAGTAGTCAAAATGTTAAAATTTGGCAATCTTACTAAAATTAATAAGTACTATTTCTTGTGTTAATTTATTTTATCTTATTTTTGTTTTTTCACATTAAACCAAATACAAATAACATCTATAGGCCCATCAAGAGAGATGGAGAGAAAATCCTCTTGCTAGAATTTGTCAATCTGCCAAACCTTGTGCCATATTTAACTCAAGAGATAGCAACGACAAAACTTAGAAGTTCAAATTAGCACGTTGACATGATTGCCCTCGAGTCAGATTGGTTTCTAGTTATGTATATGAATTGCCAAACCATAAATATAATTTATTTTTGTCTGTTTTCACTTGTATTGAGCAGGTAGGAATGGGAAGTGCATTAGATACATTCTGTGGGCAATCTTATGGGGCTAAACAGTACCATATGCTTGGTATTCACAAGCAGAGGGCCATGCTTGTTCTCCTACTTGTAAGCATTCCACTTGCTTGCATTTAGGCAAATGCAGGGCATATTCTTGTTTTCTTGGGACAAGATCCTGAAATATCAGCAGAGGCAGGTTCTTATGCTCGGTTCATGATTCCCAGCATTTTTGCTTACGCACTCCTTCAATGCCATGTTCGATTCCTACAAACTCAAAACAACGTCTTTCCAATGATGTTGAGCTCTGGATTCACCACATTACTACATGTACTCATTTGTTGGATTCTAGTCTTTAAATCTGGACTTGGAAATAAAGGCGCTGCGTTGGCTAATGCTATATCTTATTGGATCAATGTGATCTTACTCGCCATTTATGTCAGGGTATCTCCTTCCTGCAAGAACACTTGGACAGGATTTTCCAAGGAGGCATTGCACGATATTCCTAAATTTCTTCGACTTGCAATCCCTTCTGCTCTTATGCTCTGGTAATAATTATTATTGATTATCAAAAATAATATATTTTTACTGTTTGTTTGAAATGTGCTCAAACATATGCTAGTTTCATTTATTTGATCACTTACTGTTTTCTTCTAAACAAACAAACAGCTTGGAAATTTGGTCATTTGAAATGATGGTTCTCTTGTCTGGTCTCCTTCCTAATCCAAAGTTAGAAACATCTGTTCTTTCAATCAGGTTAGTAGTTTCTGTACTCAATTCACTTCGTGGTCAATCTATAATAAGCACATAGGCAGCTCAATCCTATTTGAGGCCTATGAATGAAAATTTTAAGTGAGGCACTTTATAAATTTTGCTTTATACCAAATTCATTTATTTTTGTGTGATACATACACTATATACCTATAAAAAAAAAAAATAAAAAAAATGGGGGTCTTCCTCTGAGCAGGACTCTAGGCGAGCAGCTAAACAGTCTTAGGGGTTGAGCTGCTGCTGGTGGTGAAGCATCACATAAAGTATTGTCATATATAGATGCCCATACTAACTTTTCATTTGAATTCATAGCCTCAATTCGCATTCCATGGTTTACATGATACCCCTCGGATTCAGCGGTGCCACAAGGTGATTGATTATAAGCTTAATTGTTGACCATTTAGGATTTTTATTATTTCTTATAGTTTTACATTTTATTTTGTTCGTCCTTCAGCATAAGAGTTTCCAATGAATTGGGGGCTGGCCGACCACAAGCTGCCCGTTTAGCAATATGCATTGCCCTAAGCTTGGTTGTTACAGAAGGCATTTTGGTAGCAACTATAATGATTCTGGGGCGTAAATTTTGGGGATATTGTTACAGTACAGAAGAAATGGTAGTGCGATATGTGGCAGAGATGATGATATTACTCTCAGGATCCCACTTTGTGGACGGTATTCAATCGGTGCTTTCAGGTCTCTACCCAAATTCTGAATTTCACTATATTATCAATGCATTATATACAAGGGGACAATTTAATCATGAAGCGAAGGTTTCTTAAAAAGGTTTCATGAATTGGTTGTGTCAATATTTCACAGGAATTGCAAGAGGATGTGGTTGGCAAAAGATTGGTGCTTTTGCTAATTTGGGTGCTTATTATCTTATTGGTATACCTGTTGGCGTATTGCTTGCATTTGTCTACCACATTGGAGGGAAGGTAATTTTCATATCTTTTGCTTTTCCCAAACTTTCTGTTATAAAAAATATTATATACCTAGAAGAAAGTTAGTCAAAGTGCACATAATTTGAATTTATAGTGTTTGGTGTCATCTGGACTACACCAGAATAATTTTGATCCACAAATTTCAAATTTTGAGCACTTGATTTTTGGATACATATAGTGGGTGTTTAGGGAGTTACTATTTTAGTAGATTATTTTAGTTTTTAACTATTTTAATATGCTAAAATTTTTATATTTGGGAAGATGATTGGATTTTTTTGTAGTTGAATATGATGTTTGTGATAGAAAAAATGAAATAATTATGAGTTTGATGTGATATTTTGTCTTATTGGTTATTTTAGCCTATTTGTCTTATAGTGCTATTTTAGCCAAAAAAGCTAAAAAGCCTTCTTGGATTTTTAGCTGTTTTGGATTTTTTTTTTTTTGCCCATATGTTTCGATTTGTGTTTGAAATGTGTTTTTTGGCAGGGACTTTGGGTGGGGATTATTGTGGCATTATTTGCTCAAGCATTATTTCTTTCGATTATAACTTTGTGCACTAATTGGGAGAAAGAAGTAAGCACTTCCCTGATGAGTTGTGACTGTTTGAGATTTCAATTACTTTTCTTTTCTTTTCTTTTCTTTTCCCTTTAAATCACTCAATTCAAATAGACTATAATTGTTGGCTGTGGTCATATCCATTGTGCAGGCAAACAAGGCTAGTGACAGAGTATATGGCCCAATGATACCTGTAGAAGCATCTCTAATAAATTGAATTCTATGAGAAAGGAATACATAGAGCATCCAGAAGCAGATGCAGAGTATTGAATGTCACAGTGCCGAAAAATTCAAAGAACATTCGAGCCATGTATGAAATAGCTAACAAAAAAACTAAAAATAAAAACAGGATCATTTTGGAGGAGACACCGCATGAGATTCATATGATGATGATGATGATGATGATGATGAATGGTTATGTCCAACCTTGTGTGGATGTCTCAACAAATGTTTTGCTAATGCAATTATTTAAACCTTTTTTATTTGTTTTAAAATCTTTAATATAACTGGGTGTCCGAGTAATTATTTAAATCTTTAATGGAGGTGTCATGTGGTAACATTTCAAATGTTAGGAAATGAGCCCTAAGCTAAAATCCTCATTGCCAATTGCTTGTCTTTGAAAATACTTGGGAAGATTGAAAGAGGACCTATATTTTTGCAAATGGTTTTTGTAAACATAAATTGCAGAACATAAACCTTACACTTTGGATCATCTACCATGTATATCATCAAGAAATCAAGACAAAATGACATACCTGAATCCATCGATGAACGGTTAAACGGAAGCGTCTGATTGTCAATAAAACCTTGATATTGACTATGTTATTGCCTTCTAATCCTTTCCCCTTTGGTGCCTTATGTTTCTCGTTGAGATGATTTAGAAAAACAAAACAATGTTCTTATTTTTTCACCTTGGAAAGGAATAGGGACCATAACCTTTTAAAGGTTGTAATTGGTTATTGGTTTTCATAACTGAAAGGTAATGAAAACCAATAAATTAACCATTATTGGTTTTAAAAAGGTTGTGGAAGTTCAAAAGGAATGAAAACCAACTTTAACCATTGTTGGTTTTGATTTCTATTTACTGGTTTTCAAAGCTGAAAGGTTGTGGAAGTTCAAAAGGAATGAAAACCAACTTTAATCAATATGTTTTAATTTCTATTTCTGCCCCTCATAGAAATAGAAATTATACAACTAGTATCTACACATTAGGTCCATAACACATATACCCTTAAGCCTATTAACTAAATTGAATCACTTAAATTGTAGGCTTCTTATAAATGATAACACCACATTTAAGTATGTGGTCCCATTGAGACATTATCTAACAGTTTTAGGTTGTGATTAAATTTATAGATTTGATATGAAAATATTTATGTCTTATTATTAATAGAGAATAATTCTAATTTATATTTCAGACATAGATTTCAATTTCAAATTTGAGGATTTTATTTAGCACTTTTTTCTTATTATACTTTGTATACATATGGTTCCTACGCCTTTTTTTTGAATGTCAGAGATAATATTACGAATTTGAATAATTTTATGATTGTTGGGATTTAAACATACATCTCTACTATTTAGGAAACATCTTTCTATGAGAACTTTAACTAATGGATATAATTAGTGAAAAAATGAAATTAATCAGACTTCTATAACTCCATGATCATATCTTAATTGTTTTAAAATCATTATCAAAATCATGTTAATCATACAAAAAAAAAAAAAAAAAGAGCAGAAGATTTGCACTTGTTGTGGGGTTGCAAATGTCCAACTAACTTAATTTTTTGTATGGATGATCTGCTTGATAAATCTTACAATATGAATAATTTGGATTATTAAAAGAGGCTCGGAACAAACCCCTACGGGGCCTCATAGAAAGTTGCAAGGCACAGAAAGAACCCCAAGTCATTAGCCAATTGGGTTAGTTGCCACCCTTGTGCACTGCTATGTAGGAGAACAGGGGTTAATTTTTAGGGAAAACTTCACTTTACCCTCTTGTGATTTGGGCCGGATGTGGATTACCTCATGACATTTGAAAATCACCACATAATCCCGATGTGATTTGTGGCCTAAAACGCATAGTAAACATTTTCGTCCAAGATAATAGAATGTGAAAAATCACATGCCTTTGTAGAGAGTACGTCAATTTTTAAGACAAAAATACCGTTTTTATATCTTTAAATTTACCAAAAATGTCATTATTTTCCCCTCCCCTTATTTCTATTGTTGCTCTATTTACTCTTGCAAATAAATAATAGCACTCATATATATATATATAGACACACACATAGAAATTAAATGATTTCCATTAAAATCTATCTTAACTTGATATCAATGGCAGCTCATCTCTTAACATATATGCACATGTATGCATATATTTATGATTGAAGGATGGGATTTGTAGCCAAAATGAGTGCAACACATATATGTATATATATACAAACAGTGAGTTGGGATTTGTATATCTATACTAAAGATTGTAGCTTTCCATTTTTTTTGGTCTATTTAGATCCTTGGTTCTCATAAGAATAGGGGATTTTTGGTCTGTTTAGATCTCATATAAACAGTGAGTTGGGATTTTTAGTCTGTTTATCAGATATTTAATTTTATGATGGTGGGTTTGATTTCTTTGTTCAATTTTTGTTTATGGTTGGTGGGTTTGATTACCTTCATTCTTACTTCCACTTGTTTGTGTCTCCTTCTCTTCTTCATTGGCCATTGTTGCAAGTTCTGTTAAAAGAGAGGAGGAAGTTGAAAAGAAGAAGAACCATAAAGGTGTAGAGAGAGAACCAATAGAAAAGTGAAGGTTTTTATTTTTTTTATTTTAATAGCTAAAACATAACACACACATATATGCATAAAATATGGGCATACAAAAAAAAAAAAAAAAATCAATCTTCACTGTACATCTATATATATGTGTGTGCGTGCAAAATATAATTTTGGGAATGTTTGATGAACTAGATGCTTTGGTGACGTTTGATGAATCAAAATTGTGTTCTTTGATCCACTATGCATGTGTGTGTGTGTGTGTGTGTGAGAGAGAGAGAGAGAGAGAGAGAGAGAGAAAGAGAGAGAGAGAGAATTTGGGGAATGTTTGATGAGCTAGATGGTTTGATGAATTGCAAATTCAAAATCGTGTTCTTTGATTTTAGTTTCTTCACTATAAATATGCATCAACTACTATTATAAAAGTGTGAAGAGTCTGCCATATTTTTTACTTTTTTTTAATCCCAATTTTACCATCTCAAATCTATTATATTTTTTAAAAGTTATGAAGAGTCCTATATAAACCAACTATCTTTTTATTTTTCGAATTAAATACTCAAAAACGATATATCTGCTTCCAAGAATCCTACATAAATATAAACAAACCGTCTCCCTTCTTATGAAAAACCTGTCATATTTTTTACTTTTTTAAATCTCAATTTTACCCTCTCAAACCTACTATATTTTCTAAAAGTCATGAAGAATACTATATAATTCATCTCTTTATTTTTGGAGTTGAACACTCAAAAATATATTTGCTTCCAAGAGTCCTATATAATTATAAACAAACTGTCTCACTTCTTATCCAAAAAAAAAAAAAGAAAAGAAAAGAAAAAAAAAAGCCATCTCCCTATTTTTTACATTGATGATGATTAAAGAGCAAAAAATAATAACTCTTTCTTATTTCCTATGTCTGCTTCTATATTGTTATACATAATATTTACAATTGTTCCTTATGGATCAAATCACTATGAATAATTTTAGTTGAATATTAAAATTGTATGCATTCGATCGAATCTAGATAGAGAAAAATGAATGCCTTTTAAAAACAGAAATTTGTGCTACATCTCAAAAATTCACAAGTTATCTTTATACACTTTCTTTTTGTTTAAATTATATTTTATAAACTATAATATTTTACATGGTACTTTAATAACCAATGTATGATGTCAAAATTCTATATAAAAACCACTTTCGTTGGTTTTATTTTTTAAATATGTTTTTCAGTTTTGGATTTTTCATATTTTTCTAGTTTTAGTGAGTAAAGATACTGGAATTTCTTTATATTTTATATTTAAATTATACTTTTATATGAAAATCTAATATCTAATAATTTAAATAGAATTAAAAAGTAAAATATTGGTAAAAAAATTTGTAAATTCAAACATTTACTGATTTTTTATTATTATTACTATTATTATTATTATAATAATTATTATTATTTAATATCAACTTTTTTTTTGAAAAAAATACACAACAAATTATTTTCAAAGTATATTTAGATTAATTTAATCTAAATCTAAAGTAAAATTAAAAAATAAAGAAGTATTAAATTAAGTGAATTTAAAAAGAAAATAAAAGAGTCATTAAAAAAAATAGTGTCAAAGACAAAAAAAATAAAAAAATAAAAAAATAAATAAAGAAATTCAAAACAAAATTTTTAAAAAACAAACCAAACAAAACACTAGAAATTTTTATTGTTTTAAATCTCTCTTCACTAATCTCTAATTTTATACAAATTATTCATAAAACCCTTTCAATTTTTATGTAAATTTGATAATCTAATTAAAAAATGGTGCATACACACAAAATGTAACACTAAACATTTACTTTATGACCAACTATTTAATTATGAATAATTATCTTCTCATTGTTACCTATATTATATTATTGTAAAAGATTTCACGTATTGCTTTTATGATATCTTATATATGTCAATGTCTATATATATAAATATACAAAAATACATAAATGTAAATTTATATATGTTATTGCATTCGTACATTGTCAATCTGTAATGTTATATTATCATCAGATACTTTAATTTTCTAACATGTATCGCTTTAGTAATATAGTTATATTTTTGCTAGGAAGAAACTGCAGAATTGTGTATTGTTCTCCTATCAACTTACGTTCAATACATATATATATACATGTTATACAAATAAGTGTCTACAACAAACACTTTTAATAACAAAGTAAGACTTTGCAAAATACCCCAATCATGACAATAATTGTATTTTTTTTCCCTCACAGAAAAAATCACATTATTGAGGGAAAATGGTTTTTGTGATAGCTGACTTTGGGTGACCGCTTGAGCGGTCATTTGGTCTCTTGAGTGGAGAATTTTTGTTTCTAGTATCTCGCAAGTTTATAGGCGAGACCACTAAAGCGAAGGAATTGTCGCTTGAGTGGAGAGTTTTTGCTTCCAGTATATCGCAGGTTTACAAGCAAGACCGTTGGAGCGAAAGAATTGTCGCTCGAGCGTAAAATGTGAGCTCCTAGTATTTTCACTGTAGCTCTGCAAAACTTATGAGACCTTGCATTTACGGCTCTAGTGGCGGAAAGTTCGCTCGAGCGATCTCTCTGCATTTTGGTTATTCGCTTGAACGATGGAAGCTTCGATCGAGAGGTCATATCGGGACAACAGATTCAAAACACGATCTAAACACACGTTTGACTCATTTTTTCATCTTCTCTCTCTCTCTCTCTCTCTCTCTCTTTTCCCTTTTTTTGAAAGCCCTAGTACTAAAGCACTA